TTAGGAGGCTTAGTATGCACGGGGTTCTGAAGGCCCTAGTGCTACTGCTACGAGCTACAACGCATGTTGACATACCGTTTCTGCGCATTGTGTTGCGAGACAGTCTCAGGTATAGTTTCTGACGAAAAGGCATCACCTTTGTAAACCACGTACACGAACTGAAAAACAAAGTGTGGGAAATGTATGTTGTGAGCTGAACAGCTGAGCTTCCTGGTAGCTCACCTCGGTACTCTCAGCTCATGGCCCTTCATCTGCGCTTTCTGCAACCGCCTCTTTGGGCGGCACCTCCTCGAAAGGACAACAAATCTGACCATTTGGAGAAAGGGCTGCTTCGCAGTTCGGTTTCTGAGGTTGCTCACCATGTATCAGACGGCAAAGATACAAGGGGAGTCTTTCGTCTTTCGCTTTAGCGAAACGTGTGCCACCAAGCTACCAGAATTCCCGCAGCCAAATCCTGAAACCCCAAACCCACAACCGCTCCGAACCCCTTAAACTAAGACTTCGCGGCGAACGACCACATAGGTTTGAGCTTTCCAGATCGAAAGACCTTCCCTCCACTGCCATGGCACGCGCAGGCCTTCGCCCGACGTATGAGGGCCTGGCTGCATGTTGCTTCGCCAGATACGCTGACATACTCGTCTTGCGACTGGGATGGAAGATGCTTTACCTTAGTTGTCCAGTACCTAGGGGTTTCAAAGGTTAACCTTTGAGATTATAAGGGGAATATATTAACCCAAAAAGGTTAAAGGTTACCTACTCTACTACTAAGTTACAGCCCAGGTCAGACATGTTCACAAGGGGTGGGCCAGGCATCTGGATCATGAGAGAGCTTGCCCAGAACTGGCTAGACTAGCATCAGACTTTCTGTTCAAGGGGGGTACAACTGCATGCAAGAAGTCGTTATGATCTATGCACCCCTGAACGCCCTAAACCTCAAGCCGCGAAGACCCCAGCTTCAGCAAAGACCTCACGACACTTCCCCCGCTTGCCTTCATTCTTGTGCTGGCGAAGAGGCAACTCAGAGATCCATGTAGGGTGTCCGGGGTCACTAAATCGCGGTGTCGAGTCAGTTGACTGTCTGTCCACAAGCAGACTGCTGTGAGATTGGCACCCTAAACCCTAAACCCTAAACCCTAAACCCTAAACCCTAAACCCTAAACCCTAAACCCTAAACCCTAAACCCTAAACCCTAAACCCTAAACCCTAAACCCTAAACCCTAAACCCTAAACCCAGCACAAAGGACAGGTGCCGTGAGATTTGCACTCGAGCTTCAGGCTGCTGCCTTCGGGTCCAGCTCGCTCTGGACTAGGCGCTAGACATCTTCACAGGCACCATATGCCACCGTGATTTCTCATGTGAAAGCTAGTGAAGCCGAGCTGGTTGGGGCCAAATTTGCCAGCAGCAGCAGATGATGATGTAGCTAGGGCGAACCAAGTCAAATCAGGAATCAAGGTCACACGGCATTGAGGGAGAGCTACCCACTTCAAGACCAGAATCGTGCACCCCTGAAACCGAGCCTTAAATTAATCCCAAAAAACCGTCGACACACCGGAACCCGGCAAAGGGCTTCGTCAGGCTGGATTCCTTTCTCCAAGAGCTGGCGGCATTGCCCTCCACAACGCTTGGGATCTCATTGTCTGTTTTTTGTGGATTTCCTTCTGATCATCCATAAGGTGGCCTTCTACTCTCACAAGAGCACCCCCTCCTCACCAGCATGTGGCAGGCGAGTCCATAACCGCAAACCCAGGATACGAGACCAGTTGGGGTTTCAGAGCGTCTTCGTCCGAAGTGCGGGGCTTGTGGCTTTTGGTGCAGCTTGGCTTGGCTCAGGGTTTGGCTTGGCTTGGGCCTTGGCTTGCTGCTTGGCTTGGCTCGGCTTTTGGCTTAGTTTTGTTCGGCCCCAAAAAGTGCAGGCTGTTTTTGTTTATTATAAATTTCCTGGGTGTGTCTTGTTGCAGCCTGCCCTATGTGCAAACACAGTGGGCTTATGCCGGGCCTAAACCAGGTTCATATGCGTTTGGAGGCAAGCCCTCTTTGATGGCATATGCTCTTCAAAGCCAGCTTGCACGTCGTAAAAAAGTGCTCCTACGGGCTTTAAGCAACTCCTCTTGATGGCATGATGTGCTTCAAAAAAGCTTGGGGCGCAAACTGCACCTAACAAAGGGCTCGTTGGGGCAGTTGGGGCACGGATTTCTGAGCAGAATCATCCAGTTCCGTCTGAAAGGATAGTGGTCACCCTCCAAGAACTCGTGAACATTCACGCTATTGTAATTTGGGTGTACGTGTTGAACTTCAGAGCTTGGGATTTCGGGCTTCGAAAGCTTCTAAACGGGATATACTTCCGCAAACTTATACGACTTCCGAGTTTAAGAGATCCTCGGCCAGAGCCTTGAACTTAAAATCGAGTAGCCTTCTCGGCAATTCGAATCACCTCATCACCTTACCTCGATACCCCCAGAGACAAAGCCCAAACTCCTGAAGCGGAGCAGGAGGAAATCCACTCGATGCTAAAGCCTACGCCCCTGTTGACTGTACATTGACAGCTTCTCAGAATCGGGAAAGAATCTGTTTTGTGTCATTTACTTATTGTTCTCCACACAGCTGCTTTAGGGCAGCAGCTACTCCGCTATAGCAGCCTCCGAACATCACTATATAAGCATCCGACCCCGGTCAGAACCCGAGACAAGAGCTCGCGGATGCTATGATGCGAGTCTGAAAGTCAAGCCTGAAATTGCCAGAACGAGCGTGCAGCGCCTCACGCTACATTCTTCCGCCCTGGTTTGTGAGAAGCTGCCCGGCAATGTACTGAGCAGATGCTAGAGAAGCTGGGGCAGCGACGCCGTGGGCTCAAGATCGTCAGGTGTTGAGCATGGTTACCCTCTTTCATACGGATACCACAGATCGCTCCTGGGCTCTGTGTCCCTCACGTCCTGGCCCCGAAAAGGCACTGTTTTTTGGCTAGGGGAGGATCGCCATGCGTCGCTACCCCTGATGCCTCCGAAACATCGGCATGGCAGTACCGCAGACCCCTTCCTACGCACTGGACCTATCGGCTGGAGGATGCTGTGGGCAGGATAGATTCTGCGCTTAGGGTTTAGGGTTTAGGGTTTAGGGTTCAGGGTTTAGGGTTTAGGGTTTAGGGTTTAGCTTCAATACCCTTGCAACCACCCCTCCTGCAAGACATATCCAACGCAACCTAGCCGCTTCAAAAGACGATCTCGCTCCACCCGCACGCGGTGCAGCGGTGGACCAGTGCAGTCTCACCACTGGCCTAAATTCACGCGAGGCTTTTGGGCCTTATGGCACCCTAAACCCTGAACCCTAAAACCCTAAAACTCTAACACCCTGAAACCCAAAAACCCTAAAACCCTAAAACCCTGAAACCCTGAAACCCTAAAACCCCAAAAACCCTAAACCCTCATGGCTCATAAACGACGATGCATGTCGTGGTTGATGCTCGGTGGGTGCGTCTTCTGGGGCATTGATGATGGGTCAGCAGGGATTACCATCCAGATAGGGCTGTAGGATAACAGCCACGAGTTGGTCAAGGATTGCAACCTCCTAAATCCAAGACTCTAGTGCCAAAGGCCCTCAACAACATCGAAGTTCTGAGTTACTGTAGAAGGCGGACACCGCCCTCGACTTGCGCAAGCGGGGCGGCCCCGGGACATGTTGGAAGATCAGGAAGTGGATAAATTCTGATGGCGTGGACGTTTCAATATGAATCATTTTTTGGTTGCTCAGTGAGAGAACTGCCGTCTTAAAGTTTATTCGGCAATTAACGGTATAAATAACATGTGCACCAAAAAACGCACTTGTCAATGACATGACACACGCAACTCACGCAACTTGCAATGCGCCTCGAAGTGGCCACGCTTCGTGCAACCACCCTGTTGGTGGCGCACCTGACCAAGCCATGGCTATTGCTCGTATATACATATTTATATATATATATACATACAATGTACAGATGCATTTGTTTATAAGGTTCTTAGGGCGCATTATATGTATACGTATATATCATGGTCAGCTTAGTTAGCTTTCTAGAATCTCTCGCCGCGCTGAAACCGTACCCTGCTTTTGGCTAAAGTCAGCGTCTTGCATGGCTGAGATGCTTCGGTTGGGAATCCAAACGCAATGCCTATTTCGTCGTTGCGACTAGATACTTCGCAGCTGGCGCCCTTTTGTTGGTTTGGGGTCTTAGCGTAGTACTGGCACGATTCCTCAGCGTCTTGCTGCCGTCTGGCCAGAGCACGCACTGGCAACATGCACGTTATCGTCGTTGTGCAGGCAGGGATGCCCTGTCCACTCGCACACGCTGGCAACGTGGACGTTATCATCGTGCCTGTGTGTATGCTCAGGTCATAACATGGATGTTGTGATCGTGCGGGCATGGATGCTCTGGCTGATCGATGCAGTGGTAACACGGACGTGCTTATCGTTCGGGCATGGCTGCTCTGGCCAATGGGTTCTTTGGGCATGGTTGCTCTGGCCAATGGAGTCTTTCCAACAGAAACGGAAGTCCAAAGACGCCAAAAGCTGGTCCCTGTTGCGTTCTCGGCCCATACCGTAGACCCTAATTGCAAGCCTTACATCCTCAAAAAGACCTAAACCCTAGAAACCAAAAACCCGAAAACCGTAAAAGCCCGATAAACCCATTAACCCTAAACCATGGGGGGTTGGGGGGTTCAGGGCGCAACCACACCCCAACAAGCACGAGACGGTCCTCGTTTACTAGCGCAACATGCCAGCCATCAGTACATCAATTCCTTTGGGTTGTTAACAGCAGTCTCAGGATTGTTGACTGCAGTCTGGTGCCACGCCTACCAGTTTCAGTGAGCTGGCTCCTTGATTAATTGCATGCGGCTGTTCTATTCAAACAGGGGCAGACTCCCAGCATGCTTGCGGGCCAAGCAGCTCATATGGGACGGCTGCAAAACTAAATCTGATCCCAGCGTTCTTTGCTGTGATCACTTGGCTTCGTCAGCCCAAGTGGAGCTTACCCAAAAAGGCCTCCTTTCATCTGTTGCTGACCGGCAGCGGTGAGGAAGCCCTCACGGATCTGGGAACCCAGGTCTGCGACGGCCGAGGGCCCGTGCGGGACCACAATGGAGCCGTGGCTGCCGGCAAACTCCTTCAGCGTGTCCAGATACCTCAGTTCCAGGAGGGGCTACTAAGGCCTTAAAATCCCCCATAATGAACCCGAAAAAAGGGCCTTTAAAGGGACTATAGGGTATGATAGCCCATCCTGGTTAGCTGCGGGAGCAATGGAAAGCAGAGTGAGGGTATGAGTAAGGTAGGAACAAGGCGCTGGGTCATGATCATCATGTGCATGGCCTCTTTCTCGGACATGCCGCTGTCCTTCATGAACTTCATGGAGTCCTGGAATCCCTGTGCCATGGCCGCGCGCATGTTGGCCATGCCGACCCCGGCCAGGCGCTTGGCCTCAGCATCAGCCTCCGATGCCTCACACACAAGGCGATCAGGGACGGAGCAGCCAACGGAAACAAGTGTGGTTTCAGGTGCTGTCCGCTTCAACTCTGCAACACTTCTGGAGCTGCAGGGTTTTGACTTAGGACAATGAGATGCTTCTTATGCTGGCCCCGCCTGTTGATACTGTTTGTCGTGGTTCAGTGTTTTGTGCTGCGCCGTGTCTTTTGCTATGCCCTTCCCGCCCCTTTCTGTTGTGGGTGTTTCTTTCTTCATGCTGACGAGGTGTTTCTTGTTGTGTTTGCCCAGTTTTTGCTGTTGCGCAAGCCGCTAGCGACTTCTGTGTCTGGGGCCGAGCTTGAGCCCCAGCATCACAACTTATAGGGCTTGCGGTTGCTTGTGAAACGAAAGGGACCATGTTTCTACAACTATGAGCAAGCCGTGGCCAGGCTGTTGCTTGATGCAAACGTGCCCGGCCTGTTAAAAACATGGCTTGGCTTTGGCTTGGCTTTGTCATATAGCATGCAGCCCCACCCAACCCCCCCTTCCAATTGCCGCCCCACCAAAAACAAGACATGCTTGGTTGGGGCGGCTGTGGCCGGGCTGATGTTTGATGCAAGTGTGCCCAATGTGGCTTGACTTTGGCTTGGTTTTGTTACATTGCAGGAGGGCTCCTTTCTAATAACGGGAGGACTGGGGAGCATAAGAAGTCTAAGGTCAGCATAGGAATAACTTCACGCAATGGAGCTAACCTGGAGCATTAGAAAAAACATGTTCGAGGATAAGAGCTTGCAACAGCTTCTGGCGCACGGAGAGAAGAAGCAAAAGGGTATGGCACAAGAAAAGCACCCAGTCCTTTGACTTCACTACGCTCGCCTGCCACTTGTTTCTTGGTTTAAGTTTACGGCTTGACGACCGCATTTTTGAAGTCTAAACGCCGTTTTAACCTTAGAGGGCGGCCAAGTAGTACAAAAGGAAGCCCATGGAAGGTCCATCATATGCCGACAACTTTTCAGAGGCTTGATCCTCAAAATTTCAAGCACTGCCTGTAGGGAGTCTTTTGAGCTAGACCCTAAACCCTAAACCCTGTATAACCCTAAAATCCTAAACCCCTAAACCCTAAACCCCAAGCCCGGTGGTGGGAGCTCTGAAAGGGCAGACATGCTAGATTATATCAAGCAGTGTTGGCATCTGGAGAGAAGGAGGGAGCAGGACATGCAACTACAAACAGCCAGTGGAAACTGCCGTACTTTTCTGGGCCGGCCTTGATCTTCAGCAGCTTATCAGCCTCGCCTTTTTCAAAGGCCGCTTCACGCTGCCTCCGCGAGGCGTTGATCTCGTTCATGGCATCGAGGACGGACCTCTCGGGCTGGATGTCGGTAATCAGCACATTGATCATGTCGTAGCCGTACTGGCCCATGGCCTTCTTCACAGAGTCCAGAATCTCCGCGACCATCTTCTCTTTGGCCTCGTAGCTCTCGTCGAGGGTCATGGTGGGCAGTGTAGACCTCAAGACGTTGTCCACCTCCGCTTTGATCTGCTCCTGCGGGCTGGCGATGTCGAAGACCGCCACCTTCACCATGTCTTTGAGTATGCGGTACTGCACCGCTGTGGAAACGGACACCGTAACATTGTCTTTGGTCTTGCAGTCCGATCGGCACATCTGCTGGTTCACCGCCAGTGAGACAGACTGCACAGTGGTGCAAGGGAAGCAAATGCAGCTGCAGCCTGGTTCTTGCATCCCCTGGTATTCCCCGAACTTCTGAACCACGCCGATGGACCCGGTGTCAATGCATGAGAGGCAGCAGCACGACATGGCCGCGCAAGGGTCTACTCTTGGACTTGCAGGCGTCAATGTTTAACACCCTGCTCGGAGCCCTGTGTCGCAGCCGTGATGACAAGAACTCGACATGACTAACATCTTCTTCACGTCACGTTGGGGAGACCTAGCTGGATCATAGCCGCTTTGTGTTGGATTGCGTCCTCTCGGCACTGGCTTCTCCTTCCTAATGTACCAGGCTCTTGAAGTTGAACATGGCATCGCTTGCCCTAATATGTGAGGACCCACGATGCTCCCTGTGCCTCTGCGCTCCCAAGCTGCTCGCAGATGTCGTCCAGTGACAGCAGCTCATCCATCAACGTCACGCGCATCTCCTGATCAAGACCCTTGCAAGAGCATACGATGGGAGCAATCGCGACAGCTGCCGCTTCGCAGGTTGGGAAAAAGCCGACACTTGCGGATGAAGTAGTAAAAAGCAGTTGCTACGTCTGGATGAATGAAAGGTGATCACGGTGGCTGAGCTTCAAGTGGTGAAGCAGTGGCTTGGGGCTGCTTCTGGGATGTACTAGTGTCAAGGCTTCAGAAGACCTAGTCGTTCGAAGGTAGGAAGGCCAAATTCCCGCAGCTGAGTCGAATAGCTACCGAATCTACACGCATAGTTTTTGGGAGCCTCCAGCAGGGACTGTTTGAGCAATCTCCCACATATTTCACGATCTTTGTGCAGCTATTTTTCAAACCTTAGCCACAGGTGCCTGCATCCCACCACTTTTCTCACTGGATCCCAACGCGGAATCTTAAGCTGTAAACCTGAAAGAAACAAGTCTGAAATATTCTGAAATTTAGACACGACGCTAGACCCGAGCCGCCTAGCATTTAAGCCCAAGCCCCAACGACTCAAATTCCTAGGGTAGTTGCATGGTCCCTGAGTATGCGCCCCCCACATAAACCCCATAACCCTAAACCCTAAACCCTAAACCCTAAACCCCATTCATACTTCAGATCCCTTTGCAGAACTTAAGGGACCGTGTAGCCACATCAAAGCACTAAACCCTAAACCCTAAACCCTAGACCCTAGACCCTAAACCCTAAACCCTAAACCCTAAACCCTAAACCCTAAACCCTAAACCCCACACCCTACACCCTACACCCTAAAGCTTAAACCCTTGGGTCCCTCTGGCACCTCGCAGTGTGAGCATCGCAGCTCGCCTGTCCGGTTGCGCAACTTTCGGAAGGGCCAACTTGGGGTTTAGGGTTTAGGGTTTAGGGTTTAGGGTTTGGGGTTCAGGGTTTAGGGTTTAGGGTTTAGGGTTTAGGGTTTAGGGTTTAGGGCTTGCAGTAGGGTTTAGGGTTTTGGGGCCTCTGAGGCCAGACTGCAAGGGCTCAAAGGGTTTAGGATTAAGGGGCATTACTTGGGATTTTTGTTGCTCTTTTTTTGGGGGAATTTGGATGGTTGCTCTAGGGTTCTACTGGGGTTTGGGGCTCAGGCTTTAGGGGTGTTGGGGTTTAGGGTCTAGGGTTTGGGGCTTTTGAAGTTTCGGACAGCCCCTCCACGAGCCCTTTGTTGCCGGGGGTGTTTGGTCCGAGAAGAGCGGCAAGGCTGCGGATGCTCTAATGGAAAAGGATGCAAACTGTAGGGGTTGACTATGTTTCTACACCCCATGCCAGCGCACGGCAAAGCCGAGCTGTGGACTGAAATGGTGGCACAAACCGTTGCGAATGGCTTTGAGTTGCGCAGAGGCTTGTGACTCAGCTGCCTGCCAGAGAAGACATTGACGTTCTGCACAATCGGCGGTTGCGATGCTACCCCGTTGTCGCATTCGGACTGCATGTTGCAGCCTCCCCTATTTCGTTCGTCGGCATTTCCTTCGGCAGATGTGAGGTCCGGGCCCTCCCGGCATCCTCGCTGCTCGAGGTGAGGATTTGTGCCCCTCCACGTGGTCCCTTGTTTGACGATGCTTAAGGTGCAAATCAATCTCTCGCTCGCTCGCTCGCTCTCTCTCTCTCTCTCTCTCTCTCTCTCTCTCTGTTCCTTCCCGACTCCGAAGAGGAGGCCGCCCTGTGTCTCCCTCGCCCTCGCTCTCTCGCTCTCTCGCTCTCTCGCTCTCTCGCTCTCTCGCTCTCTCGCTCTCTCGCTCTCTCGCTCTCTCGCGCTCTCTCGCTCTCTCGCTCTCTCGCTCTCGCTCTCTCGCTCTCTCGCTCTCTCGCTCTCTCGCTCTCTCGCTCTCTCGCTCTCTCGCTCTCTCGCTCTCTCGCTCTCTCGCTCTCTCGCTCTCTCGCTCTCTCGCTCTCTCTCTTCTTCTTCTTTTTCTTCTTCTTCTGCTTCTTCTTCGACGCGCTTTAGAGTCCCCCCCCGCAGGAGGAACCCGGCCAGCTCTTTCTCTCTCTCTCTCTCCCTCTCTCTCTCTTTCTCTCTCTCTCTCTCTCTCTCTCTCTCTCTCTCTCCACACGCTTCGCCCCCCAGAGGGGAGCCGCCCCGACTCTTTCTCTCTCTCTTTCTCTCTCTCTCTCTCTCTCTCTCTCTCTCTCTCTCTCTCACAGTTCTGCACGCATCTGCTGCAGCTACATGCAAGCGCTGAAGTCCATGCTTGGCATGACCTCATGAAGTCCAAATTCAGTCTCATGGGGGACTGTTGGACAAGAGGCAGCAGTGATGCAACAGATGCTATGCCAAAAAAGTTTGCAAATCATGTACACCGCAGGGTCCATTCTACAGCTTATGAAACACACTCATGGTGTGCTGGCTGTCCCCGGCAACTCTGCTGCGAGGGTGTCCAGGAAAGACCAAACACCCTTACGTCGCAAAACCCTAAACCCCAAACCCTAAACCCCAAACCCAAACCCTAAACCCTACACCCTAAACCCTAAACCCTAAACCTTAAACAGCACCAGAGTGGCCCACGGGCCTGCATCGTTCTCCAGCCGCCCGTCTCCACAAAGTGGGCAGTGTACACCGGGCAGGAGGTGCTGCTCGAACAAGGCGCAGTCCTGAACTGTATTTCGGCTTGAGGATTTCGGGTTTTGGGTTTGGGGTTTAGGGTTTAGGGTTTGGGGTTTCAGGTTTAGGGAAGCTGGACGCAACCGGACCCCAGTGCATGCCCTCGAAACCCTGTGAAAGCCCAGATGCACTTGAAGGATGCTTCAGGGTTTAGGGTTTAGGGTTTAGGGTTTAGGGACCGTGATATGGTTTCTTTCCACATGCTCGAGCAAGATGTGTTGATCAACTACTGTCGTGAATGCAAGATCCTCTCCATGAAGACCCAGCGACAGTTCCTCATCAACGTGGGCTAAGAATGTCGCCACGCTTGCAATCGACGTTCCCTCCCCCGGCCTCTTCATTCTGGGCTTCGGCAAGGTGCTGTGCCTCATCCTCGCACATCGGAGGATGTGGAGAACGTCTTTCCACGATATTCCCATGCTTAATTAAGCCACAGCCACTGTTTTTTGGCTTAAAACCAAAAAAAAAGAAGGCCACAGGATGCTTGGGATCCGTGCCTGTGCTCGCTGCACTTCGGCACACAGCTCCAGGTATATCTCCTGCTGGCGGGTTCAGCACATGTTGGCAGAACTGTTCTCAGTCAATGGTCGGGAGTGCATCGAACGCTCGGTGCTGGTTTTGGCGCTTGAGGGGTTGCAAGACTGCAGGAGCACGGCAAGTTGGACTAACTTTCCCTGGGCCAAAGTCATCTCCAGCTTAAATTGGAAAGTCTGGGGGTCTCTTCGGCTGGAATGAGAGATCCTCAGCCCCGAAACTTACATACACTAGACTTCACTAAAAGTTAAGCTGCACCCCCGACCCCAAACCCGGAGAGCTTGTCCTCCTCCAGGGCAATCATGGCCTGACACTTCTGCGGAGGAGGATTTTGAAGTCCGGTTTTCCAGGCTGGTTTCTGTCACACGATGAACGACCCCTGCATAGCACATACCACGCGGAGAAAGTGAGGTCATTGTTCAGCTTCGGGTTTTTTCGGTAAGGGCGCGCAAGCTCGTTGAGTTACTGTGCCTTTTCTCTTTCTGCCGCATAGCAGCCACCGCAAGGTAAGAGCTACAGGGGAGTAGGAGGCGGGGTTGAGGGGGGGGGGGGGGGGGGGGGTATGATGAGCACAGGGCTTGGCATAGGCCCGACCATCAGAGGATCTGCGAGGCAACGTGCCGCAAAAGGTGTTTACACAGACACAGCCCGGTGAAAACCAGACTCAAAAACCCCCTGCTTCTTAGTAGGGAATGAGGGAATGAGGTACCCGGTACCCTATATAACTCCTTGAGGGCCCTGATTCCCTCATTCCCAGCGAAGAACCAGGGGGTGTTCTTCCTAGAAATACATGCCTCGCCTCTTCGTCGAGCCACTTGTCTGGTGGCACTTCCTCCGCAAGTCAGCAGGGCTCCCGTTCAAATCGGGAGGGCCGATTAAAGGGCTTGGGCTTGGGCACAACAAGCATACCCTGCTCACACCAGCGAACGTAGACTGCCTTGGAACGAACTGGGTCAATACAGACGTACTGTGACATAAAGATCTCACTGGCTGTGGTACGTGGTCCTCGAGACTTAGCAGAAGTCTTGAAAGCTTTACTGAGATCAAGAGCCCAAGCCAATTCTGAACCAATGCAGTACACAAGATGCCGTTGATGTGCTGCTTAGAAGGCCCAGGGCCTTGCACAGAGGTCATCCGACATGCTGCGAGCGCGAAGATTTCAAAGATCTGACATCAGGTTGTTACCAGCCAACCTGGTCGCACCCTGTCAAGAGGCAGCCTTGGGATCCAATGGTTTATTGCGGGTTTAGGGTTTAGGGCTTAAAGTTTAGGGTTTGGGTTTAGGGCTTAGGGTTTAGGGCTTAGGGTTTAGGGTTTAGGGCTTAGGGTTTAGGGTTTAGGGTTCGCGTCGGACTGCGTTTTTCGTGCCGTGTCGGACTGTCTAGCATCGCCCTCAGAGGCTTCAAGCCAGGCTACTCACGCGCAACGAGCGCACCGACTCCAAACCACTGAGCCCCTGAGCCGGAAATCTGCAGCGGACCTCCGAGAAACCTTAATAACATGACCC